ATGATATTACAATACCAGTAAGAACTGGAAAATTTTATAATTTTATATGTGAATAAAATTGATTGATCTAAATTAAATAAAAAACAATCTTTATAAATTCATCAACAAAATATTTTTTGCTTTTTGTGTGACGTGAATTTTATGGAAAATTCGAGAACTCTTATTTATTGGTATGGTTCTCAAAAAGTATTGCAAAACCTTTCGCATATTCTTAAAATCTAGTAATAAAAACTGATATATATTTATGATAACAAAATTGTCATTTTTTAACTTCCTGAAGGAGAAGTTTATGTTTTCATAAAAAAATCCGATTCATGAATTCTGAATCGAATGAGACCGAATTTGGAAAAAGTATGTGTGTGTAAAAAGATTTTTTGAAAAAGAAAAGCCGATTTTTATGGAACGTTTTGAGGCGATATATACCATTAAAGTCCTATGGAAACTGGTTCAATTATAGAAATTACTGATTTTTGAAAATTTGCTTTTAGAAAATACTCCGAATTAACGTGTTCGTTCGTTTTCAATAATGTGTAATAAATCCACTTAAGTTGATGTAACTTGCCTCAAGGCAAAATACCAATACCAACTAGTTTACTTTTTTTCCGCTACTTCAAAATAACATGATCTGCCATTCATTAATTCTGCAAATACTAAAAACTATACAATATACTTATACACAAGAAAATATTGAAACGTACAGATATAAAAATAATCATTTTCGATTTTTGCGATATCAATAATTTACCACGAAACAGTTTTAATATCAAAAAATCTCAAAAATTTAAATGTATAATAAAGTATATGACAGTTTAAAAGTAGAGTGAGTTATTTAAATAATATATTATATATTAATAATATTATATTTTCGATAATAATACTTCACATTAATATGTACAGATCTAAAAAAATAAAAGTATTATTTATTAACAAATACATTTTGTCCTTTCCATAAAACTGGAAGTATCGATAAGTGTGACAAAAGGATTTTAATTAATTTTTGCATAACTTGTTGAGTAAAAAATGCGGATAATGAAAAGTGTCTTCATCGAATATGATGCTAATCGAGTAAAAATTCTTCATTAATAAAAATCCATATAGAATTTTACTCAATATCATACATCTAACGATGAGATAAAGTGTCAGCTACTATTATATGAGCGGCCATGGTCCGTGAGTGCTTCTATCAGCTTATTCTGTTTAATTTTACACCTAATCCGTTTACGTGATATTTAATTAAGATAACAAACTTCGTATTCTCTACACCAAATTAATGTAATTAAACACTATCCTTACACAATTAAGTACATAAATAGAAAGCAGCTGCATAAAGTAATTGTAAAACGAGTTTAATGGGTTTTTAAAGCGAATAGAAGTTGAGAGCACGGACTGATTTCAATAAATTTTTCAACATTCATTACTATTCTAAACTTTCATTGTTTGTTCAAAGATAGTAATGAGATGCAGAATAGTGTAAACCATTTATGCAATATGTAAAATGAATTAATATATAGATATAATAAAATAAATAATGGCTAGTACAAGTACTGCCATAGGTCAGGTTCATGAGCTGAGTTAAACTCCAACTCGATTTAGGAAAGAATAATAGCGTGAGAGGTTTCCTATTGCCATTTCACACCGCAGTGCCCTAAATGGGTGATTTTCAATTGGAAACATATTTTTGATCTATGTTTTCAAGTGAAAATGGACATCGCTACTGCACGGTATTCGAAATATTTATACATATTAATATTATTATATTGAAACATAAACAACATTTTAATAAGTTATTAAAATTTATGAAAAATGTAAATGTTAAATGTTTTGAAAAAATATTGTTGTCCACTATAATATTATCTTTTCTCTACATTTTTTAGCATTGCCAATATTTAATGCTATTTATACTATTTTATATGAAAGCAACTTATTGGTTTAAATCACAGTCCTAATGTTAGAAAAAAATTAAAGTTGTTTTACTGTTTTCAATTTATTTTATATTGCATATATATTATAATTTGATTTTATTTTTTATTCGGCCACTAAATTTTGCTTTTATTTACATAAACTAATGCAGTTGAGGCGTGATTAGTATTTTTGTTTAAGAAACTTTACTTTTAATTTTAGTTTTTGTGCAATGAGCTTTTATCTAACATATTAATTGCGCAATCACCATTAATATACTTATTCTTCTTTAAATATTGTTTTATTTTGGTTTATTGTTCATAGCAAACTATAACAGTACATTCAGCTATATATTATTACAGGTATATATCTAAATATTGTAATAATATTTTCTTCATTTCACTAAAGGTAGATATGCAATATTAATTCAGAATTAGTGTTTGTTATGAAAAATTATATTTAAAAAGAAAATAAAAACAAAAACGGCAGTTGAATTAACAAAAGAATTATCATTTATCCAGGAACTTTATGTGTTTCAAATTGTTATATTTTTTTGTCTCAACACATCTGGTTCGATACATAAGAGATATTTAAATATATGTAAAATCCATATGCAATGTAGAAATTCTTTTCTCAAATAATATTATATGAATAAACCAATAATATTATATAAATATACAAAATCGTAATCAATAACAGAAATATTGAAGAGTTAAAAATTAAAAGATATATTTTAGTACGAACATTACTTTAGTAGGAATACCTATTTTATAGATATACATATACATATTATGTTTTAAAATATCTAAATAATGTATAAAATTTGAATTGAAATATAATCTTTAAAAAAAAACTTTAGTATGAATAAAGCTAATGCATAATTATCATTTTATGCTGGTACCGAATTTTGAATCAAATTCAGAATCTAAAATAAAAAAGTATTATAATATGGATATGAAAAAGCCAAAATATATATATAACAAATAAAACTAAATTTAAAATTAAATTAAGCACATTTGAATTATACTAAAATCATACGCTTTTCAGGATATTCTAATTGAAATAAAAGATATATCCTTTACTCTTCTATAACTAACATTAAATAAAACAATATTGAATTATGATCGAACTACGCTATTTTTAAAATTTCATTTAAATCTTCAATAAAGTATATTCGGATTGATTCAAAAAATTATATTACAAATAACTATAATATTAACTACAATTCGTTATAATGTTTGAAACATATGGACACTTTCTACGTTCCGTAATTGTAGTGTTTCAACTTTTTATGTCGATACAGTCTACATCCGAGCATCTTTATTTACATTTAATAAAGTTTTTGTAAGGCGGAAACGGTTGTATCTTTTAAAAACAACGTTGATGTTCACGGATAACAAGTATCTATAACGTCGTTGGAGTTATTCTTATTATGTAGAGTTAAAAATTGAAGAATAGATAGGTATTTATAACACATAGTCTTTACTTTTAGCAATTATCTACTATGGATCTAAAATCAAACCACAAGATTAGTAAACTCTACGTGGTTGAAATCGTACACCAGAAACTATGCATGATTGTCCGCATTGTATTTTTTCCGTAAGGTTTTTTGGCTTTATCAGTTTTAGATCTAACCAATTACGGAAACTTGATAACGTTTTTACTAATTACACGAGCAACTGTTGCGTACAGAAAAGTAGGAAAACAAAAAGAAGGACTAAATATCGGGTATCGAACACGCGGTGCCCTTTCAAAGAAAAAACATAATGAATTCATATTAGATACGCCAGTCTTGGTTTTGGAAGTATTCTACATTTAAAATATAGTAACGTCATCATCAATGAATGAATCCTGACTGTTTAATAATATAACAGTTAGGGGAGTGTGATATTATTGCTTTCACGGTACATTTGATGATATCTTAATAGCATGTTGGAATACATTGAGGATTCTGATATTAGAAAGCGATAGAGTCAGCATTTTATATGAATATGTGATATGTGATTATCTTGTAGCAAAGATGATACCTTTGATAGAAAGCAATAGGCTTTACATTGGTACTTATATATTTCTTCAATATCGAATTGTATAAATTTATACCAACTTATTAGGTACGAATAAAATAAACCAAGAACTTATGTGCCAAATGCAAGTTTTGGCTCTCCGCCGTACACTTTGAATATCAGACATAATTAATATTAAAAGAATGCATAGATAGTTAAAAATAAATGGACTTGAAAACCGTGCTAACTTATCGATGCTAACGTACTGCAAGACTGGGTGACTTTTTCTAAACAGTTTTACTCTAAACTGTTCTTTTCATATTTATACTTCAATTATTTTCGTATATAAACATATTTTTTCAAAAGCTATTTTGAAAAATTATACATATATTAATGAAACTCAAGAATATTTAGGATGTTGTTAAGATTAAAATTAGTATAAATCACCCTACAGGAAGTTAATAAACAGTTTTTTTTAAATTATTTTTTATATCCAAAGAGATTGTGTTACAAATTGTTCTGATTCGTTCGACAACATCAAGTTCACACGTATTTTACAAGAGAACATAGAAAGAGTTAGTAGAATATTTTAACAGTTTTCAATATAGGATTTCCCAAACCTATGAGGCATTAATTTATTTCAACTTTAGAGAGAAAAATCATGAAGTAATTTGACATGAAAAATCATAGGCACAAACATAGACTCTTATTTTATTTCCATGTTTTACACCTTTGCGCTGCTCAATTTACCGGAATAAATAACTGTTAAATAAAAAATAAAAAAATGTAAGTTTCAATAGAAAGGCTTGCAAACTAAGCACACAATGAAAATATAACATAATAAAATATACCAAGAGAGTCCGCATAATTTATGAAAGCTCTGCACATTGCACTTAAACTTGACGTGGTGCTTTGTGGTTTCAGATATAAATAGGTAAATCAAAGCAAACATAGGTCTTTAACATAGGTCCGTGTTTTATTACGCTGCGGTAAGCCTCACACTGGCATGATAATGTCAGAATTAGACTCTTATAGCGTACAATAGAAATTAAAACAGCTCTGCTGCGAAATTTGCCGTTGCGGCTATTATTGTCTTACCTTTACACTCGTTCGCATCCCTAGAAGTAGCACGACCCCACGGCCTGTCGAAGTGGAATAAGCTACATCTTTCGCAGTCTCTACCCGCAGTATTATGTTTACAATCACAACTCAATTGGCCATCTTTGCTCATCAAACATTTGCTCGCGTGTCCGTTACATTTGCATCTACCCCCTACTGCAAAATCGGAGACCGCATAATGATACGACATAGTAGTCGTCGAAGTGGATGTAGTGTAACTATTGATGATATTCGCCCCGGCGTCAATGGAAACAGGTTCTTCTTCCGCTGTATTACCGCGCAATTCGCGATATTTCTGGGAAGCCATCACTTGCACCGACGGTGGTCCTTTAATCGGTTCTTCGACAAGGACATCTTCGGCAGCGTCATCTCCGTCCTGTGGCATGTGCAAGCGATGAAACACCACTCGAATATCAGTTGCCGTCACCCAGTCTTGCAGTACCGGTGATGTATCGAAATCGGCGGCGCTGGGTCTGCCTTCCAGGGTGCTGAATGCAATGCGGCCTGCCGGACCTGGACCGTCGCCCCCGGTGTGTCGATGCGAATCTGTGCAACGGGCTTCTTGTTCATTCAGACGCGTGATCAAAGCTCTGTTTGGACGTCCGTACACGCGCCTGCACTGACTCGAATAAAATTGAAAGGGTTGCCATGTTTTTCCGTAGTCTGCACTTTTATAAATCGCAATAGAATCGGGTTTAGCAGTTTTAGGACAAAATTGGAGACTGACGTAGGTCAACTCGTACTTTTTACCTAAAGACAATGTCAAAGTGACATTGTCCGGAGGTGAATGTACAGACAAGGGCGGAGATAAAGGTTCAGAACGCCAGCAGGTAATATTGTTTGGATTATTCAGATCAGTCAAATGCAATGCCGGAAAGCGTCTGCGAGGTGAAGCAGCATCACACACATGGCACTGTCCGTTGTCGCCGGTATCGCAATATCGCACGGGAGCATGTTGGCCACAGGTGCTCGAAGCTTGGACGGGTTGATTGAATGCAGCATTTACGAAATCAGGGATACAGCGTCGAGGGCGGTCATCATCGTAACAAGGGTCCACCGATCCTTTCTGCATATTAAACATTTTCATATAAGATTCACCGGCTTCAGTAGAGGGTTGTAACGGATTGAGCGCGCACAGCACCACCAGTGATAAGACACACGACCGCATGTTGAATCGCACGAGAAAAATCTGTTTGACACTAAATTTAATTGCGATCGAAATACATCATAGCACACTCAAAAGCGTTTTCGAACCAAAACTAATAAAAACCTGGAATAGCTTTATCACTTGTATGCACACTGACACTTGCCTCTGAAGGGAGTCCGTTTGATATTACGCACGTGCTCTGCACGTGAGAGGGGCGTGCGTTCGTGAAGAAGGATCGCGTTAGACTGTGCGCGCGATGCCACAACAGCGGACAGACAGCGAGCCGCAACTCTCGCACGAGAGCACTGCGAGAACGAGATAATAGCACCACGCAGAGAGCGGGGATGTGCTGCCCGTGAGATGACTGACGGGGTGAGTGCCGGGCTGCCAGAGTGGTAGTGACCGTAATGTAGTCGCGGTGGCTGCCGACGATGACGACGATGCTTACTGCCGTACGCAATACGCAATACGCAATACGGCGTATCATTTGCGGGAAAACCACCACCGATCGGTGACCGCTTGCCTACAAGATTCAGATAAGCGTATGTACTATGGAGTATGGACCCATGGACCCATGTCAGGTAGGCTCTCGAAGGAAAGTTCGGACTTCCACTTCAGGGTAGGTCAACCGTTCAATCACTTTTATAGATTAATAATTTCATACGATTATTTTATATTACCATTAATAATTTGAACATGTCAATTATTAAAGATAAAATTGTATAAAAAATATAATATCTTTGAATACTAATTTCTAATTAATTTTATGCGAACGTACAAAAATTCGATTCTTTACATTATTTCTTCATAATCCTAATAATTATCTTCAAGTATTCAATTTAATTATTTGTATATATACATTTATTGTTTTTAAACCATAAAGTTTCATTTGAAAAGGTAATCTCTATACATTTCAAGTTTTTTGTGCGTTAATATTGTCAAATATCTCCCTTCCGCTTTTTTGCTCTTGGTTTATAATACAAAAAGGCGGAAGGGAGATATTTCACAACCTTATATAATATTTGTTTTTATCATTTTTCAATTTTACTGTGAATTAAATTTTAGTTAAGAATAAGATATTTTTGGTCAGAAAATATATGTAGTAACTATAACGAAATATACGTATTATGGGAGACTGGGTACAGTTATGACAAGGTACGGTTGTCGTCATAACAGCTAAAGTATAATGATTTCGACATAGGGTCCAAAGGAAGAAAGATATAGTATGATTGTTCGAACAAGTTCAAATTATTGCTTTCAGTACATTTAAATGATTTCTGAACTGTATTGCGCAGAAGAATGTTTTCATGTTCGAATTATTTTAATAATAACTGTTAATTGTATGCAGAGACTACTTTGTTTGTTTCTTTGGTGTAAATTGAACATTAGTTGTTAATCACCAGCAATTTGTATTTGCTTTGTCATAATGATGATTCGTTTTTAATGGTTGTGACATGTATTTCTTGTCATTTTCGGGTGAAGATTAAACAGCTAAAAAAATCTAACTTACCTAAAAATAAGACAAAATATAAAAGGGAAAGAAAAAGAAAAAAATTAATACAAAAAAAAAGTTTTCACCAAGAATTCTTGTTAACTTTATTTAAAAAATTATGTTTTGTTATATGTTGTTAAATTTTATTAATAAGCTTTGTTGAAATGTTCATGCTGTGTTACATATTATTGTTGTTAACGGCAATGAAAGTTGTTATAAATCATTTTAGTCTTTGTAGCGTATACCCGAGGGACGGATGTGACACTCGCCCTTTTCTTGTATTATTTGATTTTATATTGGATTTTACAAATCCATCGCATTTGAGGATAGAATTTCAGAATTTTCACGTAGGAAAATGTTCAAATTACCATTTAATTTATTTTTCCCCTAGCTAAATGGTAAATTAACAAAATTATTGCTGATCAGAAAAAAAGTGGTACAACTTCACCCAGTCTCCCCTACTTAAAAATTTCTATCTAAGTAATAAAAATTTAATTATAACTTGTTAAGAGTAAACTATGAATTTTTAAGTAAGTTTTATTAAAGTTATTAAAAAAATAATTTAATTATTAAAAACTGTAATGAATATTTTTCAATATTTATTTGTAATAAATACTATTTTACTAATTGACTTGAACGATTATATTTTTTATGTAAAAAGCGATGTTTTTATTTTTGAGTCATGTAACGAGATTCATAAACCCTGAATTTCATATGTAATGATACTATGGTTGGCATATTGTGAGCACGTGGGTTGTTTTTGTTTGGAGTTAGGTCTCAACGTGTGAATGTAAACGCTACTAATTTAACTTTTCAATTGTCCTAAACAAATATCGCAAAAGTGTTCTATTCTGTAATTTAGTTCCAATAACGCTAAATTTCAGCACTGGAACGTAAAGTCATTTCTAGAAAGATAGGTAATTAACAAAACGCTTTGTCAATATGCACCTTAATTTAAGGATTACGAATTTACGTATGTAAATATATAATCACCCCTTTAGAGGCATGAAATCTAAAATAATGTTCATACGAAATGCCAAAATTTGCTTAAATGTCATGATAAAAATGCAATTTCTCATTTTGTATTGTAAAACTACTAAGCATAATAATAAATTAGAATTGAAATAATAATTAATACATTTTTTTTCTATTTTTTTTTGCTTCAATTAGTTTATGTTAAAATTTTCTTAATTGAGTATAGAACTCAGATGTATTTATTTAACATTAATTTTAAATATGTTGTTTTGCTTTTTAATTTTTTTATTTAAATAGAGTTTATATTCTATAAGTACTATTTTGCAATTCATAAATTATTTTGTTATATTTTTTTGTATATCTAAATATTTATATCTGGTTTTGTTGAAAAAGAGTTGAGAATTTTATTTATGCTACATCGACGTAAATTTTTCTAAATGTAAAATTTTTAAACTTTTTTTTATAATTGCGAATGGTATTTCAGCATGAGTTATTTCATACAGATTTTTATACGAGAAAGAGGAGAATGCTTCAAAAGTCATGAGAAAATTGTAATTCAAATTCTAGTTATTAAATGATTTTGATTTTTTATTGTATTAATTAGAAGCTGACTTGGAAATACATTCAGTTATTGGGGCGATGACAATACAATATAGGCATAAAGTCTATATATTTGTGAAATTCTAACATAACTATTTGATAATTTATACAAATATCACATTACTAATTAAAAAAAAAGGTTAATATAATAATATTATGAACTTAAACTATTTGGTTAATTTTATTAATTTTTTTCTTTCCAGAACAAAAGGGTGTGTGAATTTATACAATTCCACAAAAAAATTATTTGGATTACATATTAATTTTTGTCTATAATTTTGGACGATTTTTTTGAGTTGGTCTTCAATTGTCTAAACATTAGAGTTTTGATGAATTAGCCACGTTCGAGTATGTTTCATAGCAGATATAGCTAAGAACTTTAATTTGAAATTCTGAAATAAATGCTCATTATAGTTAACTGAATATTTTGTATTTTGATAATTTATTTATTTATGAATCATATACCTAATACATTGAATATGCCAATTTTAATATTCTTTGTAAATGCAAATTAAACTGGATCTTTCATAAATACTTTAGGATTTCAACTAGAAGTTCGATGCTCGCCTCGAAAAGCCTCATGTCAAGCAGTAGCAAAAAAAAACATCCGTATTAAATACTTTCCAATTAAAAGTACAAATTGTAATGATGAATTCATCAAACAGAGATGGGCCAACCGTCGGGTTGCCTTATGGAAGGTTTCCTTATGTTCAGATAGCTGTTAAAATAAATCCAAAAATAAAAAAAATATGCACATATTCACAACTGTAGGTCCTGTATTCTAAATATTATTTTAAGTTATATCTGCATTTATTTATTTCTACTATACTTTGTATACTTATTTAACAGAATGATATTCTGTTCTCATAATATTTCTTAATTTGAAATGTTTTATATAATACAATATTTGAATTTAAGTATTTATTAACTTATTTCTAGTTAAAAATATACTTTGAGATATTTTACTATGTGTCTCAGGATTCTTTCAAAATAAATTAGTTAGCGGTTTACGTACTTTGTTTACTAATAAGGTGACCAAATTTTTTAAAGTCAAAACAGGAACGGTTTGTCTTAGACCATATTTTTTTAGTTTTGCTAACGCGGCATTGAGCTCAATGTCTTAAATATGATTCAAATCAGTTTTTTTATTGAACATTTCTTTAATCATAATAATTAACTTTTAGTAGAACTTCATTATTCTATCATATGCATATATTTTTACTTCATAATTAGCTTTAGTAAAAATTAGCACTTGTGCAAGGCGTTCAAAAAGTTCGTTTTCAAAATTTTTGGTAATTTTCGTAAAATTGAAAATGAAAGTATGAAATTATTAATGTGAGGGGCTATTTTAATCGGTTTTTGGAATTTTGCATTCGACAATTTTCTCAATCATATAGTAATGTTTCATATAAGCAAATTCGTTGTATATATCATTATCAAATATTTGATGGATTGCTGTAAACTTATTATCAAGGAATTGCAAATATTCAATTGATACCTATACTTTTTGGTAACCCGGGATAATTTAGGACAGAATATCTAAATCCGGGACAAATATTGCTTTCAGAAGCACCCGAGACACAAGGTGAAAATCCGGGACTGTCCCGGCCAAACCGGGACGTATGGTCACCTTATTACTAATCATATTGACGATCCCACAATCAGTTAAAAAGTCAAGATCTTCATTCATCGCCCGTGTTCCAAATAAACAGATCAGGCTTTTATATGATCAAGTTCTATATATATTCAAATATTTGTCAAACAACGTAACGAAATTTTAATCACATATATGAATGCGTCAACACGTTTTGTCTATATCCGAGACTATTGGTCGCAGCTGTATTTTTAATAAATTTTATATATAGACTTATTTTTTGTTTTTGCATTGAACGTAGGAAGTCATTCGACTATATACAGTTTTGCTGAAAAATAAATAACCATTTCAGTTTAAGATAAGTAACCAGTGTTGCATGTCATCGTACCTTTAAGGCAATTTGCTGAAACTTCCCATACCATAATCAAATAATCGAGAAATTTTATTTGTTTTAGCCCGAATTAAAATTAAAATCCAAATCATTCTCGATATTTAAAAAAATGTTTTTTTTTTGAAAAAAAAATTGAATTCTTGAAATAAAAAAAAAATATTTTACCTTCTCCAAAAACTAATCATTTAATTAATTCTAATCCGTTAATAATTATCCGTTCTCTCAATAATAGCTATTTTTTTTTCATTCTAACTCCGTATCTCCGAAACGCCTGAACAACATTTAAAAAAACTAATCAGCACATTTTCTCGAATGTTTTTTAAATCGAGGACAAAAAATTGTATCCATATAGGCACACGCACATCCATTTTTTCTAAGATATGCCAAAATGTTCAGAAATCTTTGATACGTGAAGATATACAAAAATTATCATTTTCGATTTATTGACAATTACTATAACTTACTCTACGGTAAATTAATAAATTGCATAAATCTAGGCTATCTAGACAAGAAATATTAAATGTAATATAACACATATTATCTTTCACAAAATCATGATCTGTTCTATATAAGAATAAAACAATGTGATTAAATATTTTGATTACGTTATAATGATAAAATAATTTATTAATAAAATCTACAAAACACTGTGGCATTGAAAACATTTTACTGTATTTTATAAACTTGTCATAAATATTTTCAAAGTGAATCATTCCTTTTACGCCTGTGATATCAGTAACGAGAAGGTACTTATATATGGAATTTAATCAATATCATACCTATAATTATATTTTGCATTTAGAATCAAATTGCTTTTAATTTAATCAGTATATTCACTTCAACTGTAAACGCAAAATACTAATAATAACATAAAATTAATCAATGATAATATAAGTTTTGCATAAAAGCAGTGATAAACTGCCTATTATAATATTGTTATTTATCTTTGTATTTTATTTATTATCTTATACGTTAAATCATTAGTCAAAATATAATTTGCAAAATACACTTAATTCATTCTGAATTTACGATAATTATTTAATGAATTATATTGGTTCAGGTAATTGTTAATAACTGCATTGATTAAAATATCACATATTTAATGTTAAATGATTGAAAAATTATGTTCCTGCAGCAGTTTAATCAAAATGGGCTTACTTCAATTTTCTTTGTTCATTATTTTAACTAATATATTATAACTTATATCAATTATAGATCTATTTTATTAAATTCCCGAAGGAAAAGTTTGTTTTCACGAAAAAAAAAATGATTATCTATTTTATGTTTTCTCGACGTTCCCAGTTATTCTGAATCAAATGGGACTAAATTTTGATAAAGTATGTGTGAGTATATGAGCTAGTTTTTGACCTTTTAAAACTGGACCTATTTTAAAAATTTAAAAGACATTCAAATTAACTCGATCTCGACTAACGTTTATCAGTTTTGCACGGCGATCGGCCGAACTGTTTCTTTTTAATTAGGAGAGAAGTAAAATTTTCGATCACAATTTTTTTTAATTTAAAACTGCTCGAAAGATTTTTAAAAGATCGCGTTTACGAGTTTTTGGTAATGATCGGCCGGGCCGTTTCTTCGTAATTAAATGTTGCAAAAAAATTTCGTTGATGATTTTGATAAAGGCCTACGGTAAGCGGTGGAATTATAAAAATTCTTCAAATTTTATAATTTCGGCGCTAGCTAAGCGATTCCAATCGGAATCTGTGCCGAAGAATTTGTACGATCTTTGGTGTTTCATAAGTAGATTCTGATTTCAGTTGATGTTTATATTTAAATAAAATTCATTTTTAAAACAATAACTTAATTATAAGATTTCATTTATCTTGCAGAAGAATTACTAGATCGGAGATTTTGTCGTTTTTTTATTTTTTGCCATTTAACCCCCAATTTAAATTTCATAAAACCTAATTTAGAAAAATCTAAAAAGTTTATTTTCGTATTCAGCGATAAAAACTGCATTGGAAAACATATGCCCCATACCCAATCCAGTCATCTTTTTTTGTGGACCTGTGTTATTATTCAGTGAAAGCAAAAATTTTATTTTTGTTACAAACAGTTTATATTTGATTTATATAGCTGAATCTCAATTCTTATTGATTAATTATACATCTATCAGGATTCTACTGATATATATCTATCAGAATTTATGCATCTTGCCTTAAGTCAAAATGCTACTTACAACTAGTTTTTCACTACGTTTAGAAGACACTTATTGTTAGTGCTAACACAGAAATAAAAAAAATGTGTGGCAACACGATACACGACACAAAAGTTAACTTTATAAAATAATCTATATATGTATTATGAAAAGCTTCTGAACTGTCAAAGCACCAAGAGCAAACTAAATTCATTAATTGTCCTTTCCACTCAGGAAAGAAATAGTGAATGCCCCTAAATATGTACCAAATTGGCTCATATATAAAGATCTCAATAATAATACAGTACATGAGGAATTCCAGATCCATAGTAACAATTATAAAAGAGGCACGTAAACCACCCAAATTCTTGCATAAAACACCTCATTAGAGTCTACAGGAATAAAAGATTAAAGCGAAAAAGACAACCCTCGGACATATAACAGCAAAATAGGATACCATCATACCTGGACGCCCAATCAAGGGATTGGCAATCAATTTAGACATTCTACAAAGGACTATCAAAAAATTTGAAAAGAAGAAATTGGCTTTTCCATGAGGCATTCTTTTGAATGTTTCTTCATAACGCCTGATGTTGTGGTGTAGATGTGGATTGAAATCGATAGATTAAATGAGACACCAATCGTTATCGGGATGATTTGCTGATGATTTTGTTGATATTTGAAGTCATACTTTTCTAATATGCGGTTTTTGGAGACCAATAATTTTTATATGGCTCGATAACTGATCGATGATCGTTTTTTTGCGAATGTTTTTCATTGAAGATTGACCAAGATTTTTTTGAGTTTATAGAAAGCTAAAATATATCCGCTCTTTCCGCTACACAACATTTTCTACAATTCTTAGATTTTGGCGGCCAAATGGTTACCTGCGAATTAGTTAGTTATTCTTTATACAAAAAAAATCTAGAAATATTTCTTGTGGCTAAACGACACTTTAACAAAAATGCCGTCGCGTTCCTGAAATTTTACTTAAATTAAAAATTTTCTAAAATTAAAATAGCTATTTGATTGCAGAAAATTTATTACGCATTACATACTATGAATAGTGGTGCTTGGCATCGTGCCTTAAGGCAAATTGCTGGAACTTCCCATACCGAAAATTAAATTTGACCGCCAAATGTTTTTTTTTCAATAAAATAGGTATTTATATTGTAAAGAACTTTTTTCTCACTATCCAAATTTTGCCGATTCCGAAAATTTGCCACCCTGGGCAGTAACCTCGACTGCCGTACTGTAAATCCAGCACTGTATTATATGTAATGTTTATTTGCAGCCGAATAGTTCAAATAACTAGTGGTGTATGGCATCGTGCCTTAATGCAAATTGCTCGAACTTCCCGTACCGCAACGAAATGTTCGAGAAATATTAAATGTTTTCATATAGATAATTTTAAACACTGTAACATTGTCGAATATTTATAAGAATTATATAAACTGAATTGCAAAGTTGAAATTATTTGTTAGAATTAAAATTAAAATCTGAATTATTTTTGATATACAAAAAAAAATTTTTTGAAAAAAAATTTGAAAAAAAAAATTAAACTAAAAAATTTTTTTTCAAAAGCAATTATTTTGTAAAAACAAGCAAAAAGTTTATTGAATTCAATCATTCAAATCGGATGCTTAGTTCTCTCAAAAACTGCCATTTTTTGCACATTTTGCTCGGTATTTCCGAAATCGGATAAGTAAGTAATCACCACTTCTCCCCATCATTACGAACTAAATGCTTTTTAGATCATTCAAATCGGATGCTCCGTTCTCTCAAAATCTTGATTTTTATTTTCGGCACTCTTTGCTCTGTATCTCCGTAACCGCTGGACCTGCCTTTCACAAAAACTAATCAGCACATCTCCCTATCAATAGGGGTCGAATGTTTTTTAAACCATTCAAATTGGTTGATCCGTGCGCTGAACAAAAACGTGAACGAAAAAATGCGGACATAAAAAACACACACACACACATACACACACACGTCCATTTTTTCTGAGGTATGCCAAAATGTTCAGAAACCTTCAAAACGTCGAGAAATGCAAAAATTTTTATTTTCGATTTTTGGCCCATTACTATAACTACCCTACGGGAAGTTAAAAAGCAATGAACAATTGAACTATCTACTAGGTACAGTGGCGTCGGAACCAAATTTTTGATGGGTGGGCTCGTTTTTTTTTTTTTTTTAGAGACATATTAGCCCATATAATTTTTTGAAATTCATGGGTGGGCTGAGCCCCCCCATCAAAATTCCTGGGTGGGCTCAAGCCCACACAGCCCACACGGTTCCGACGCCACTGACTAGGTACGTTTCGACATTGTATATGTGTCATCATACAGCATGTTTACCAGGAACAAACCAGAACAACACACATTTTTTAGTCATTGTTTCATAGATGGCAAACCAATAAAATAAAACTAGTGGGGCGCATGGCATCGTGCCTTAAGGCAAATTGCTGGAACTTTCCGTACCAAAAATTTTTTTTTTAAAAAAGATTGAAATTTTTGAAAAAAAATTACTCTGAAAAAATTAGATTTTTGAGAAACTATAAATTTTTGGCAAAAATTTACTCTTTTTTGAAAAAAAAAGACTTTTTGAAGAAAAATTTATTTTGAAATATTTTGGAAATTCTGAACTTTTTTCAAAGCAATCGTACTGCTGGCAAAATAACTGTTTTGCCCACGTTTAATTTTTGTATTTCTGGTTGCTCTAGTGGCGCCATCCACCATACGTAGGTTTTACTATTATCGTCAGCTGTCATTTTTGTTTTACTTCTTTGACAGTTTTAGCACGTGGTCGTACAATTATACATATTTATTTAAATATTTGCTTGTAAAATGGTAAAGTAGTATTTGTTTGTTTGTTTATTTGATTATTATTGTTATATTTATTTATTTTTTATTTTAGGGTAACTTAAAAAAAGAGATAGCTAAATGTAAACATCCAAACAGCAGGAAAACTATAGCATTAATCAAGAAAGCTAAAAAGTTTGTTGGTTACACTTATTGACATCTGCAGAGTGTTATAAGCTAAAATCTAACTATCAAAGTTTGTTTTCAGATTTGAAAGTAAGGAAAAAGTTAAATTGGGGCAACATATCAAACAAAATCTTCTTGGAGAAAAGTTAACCTGGTTCAGAGATAATTTGGAGGATACTGAAGTTTATACCTCAGCTCAATTAGACGAATTGTTTGAAAAGTGTGTAATTGTAATAATAAAGAACACAAATGCTTTAAATTCTGTTATCTTCAAAGTAATTTCTTATTCAATTTATTCTAGATATTTGTCAAGATTTGATGAAGAGCTTGAACAGATAGCCTTAAAACGCTCAATTGGAGGACATAGAAATCATCAGCATGCTAGTAGGCAAGACACAATTCGAATGACTTTGGAAAGGGAACGAGAAGAATACATGGGATGTGGAATAGAAATGATTGATATTCGAGACCCCGCACAGCTTAAACAACTTCGAAATTGGGAAGGAGAACTTAGATTGATTATAAACTTTAAACTTAAACGAATTGCGAAGAAACATTTATTATGATTTCCATGTATTTATATTTGTTATAACATTGTACTAAACGTAAGTGAAACTGCTACATGATTATCTTTGACTAACTACCTTGCTGTAGGTACTTTTTAAGAAACATTTCGATTTATAGATTTTGTGTTTTTGGTACTCTTTATTCTAAAACTTTCATCTAATGTTCAGTAAAATGTTAATTTGAATTGAAGTACTGTAATGATGTTACAGCATATAATGTTTCAAGTTTTTATGAAATAGTTATAATTCACAAATCTTTAATTACAAATAGCATTTATACATAAAATTTGTTGAATGTATAAATTAGTTTTATTAAAAAGTTGTCAGTTTCACTAATAGAAACTATATATTCATATGGTATATAAATATTTGATCTATTGAAAATCCTTCCTGTATACACAAGTATTGAAATGTCTACAATTTTACTTCGATTATGTATTTCACAAGTATTTAAAAAAATTACGAACCCTAAAAATTTTTATAAACATGATACATACTTTTGTTTAGAAGTAAACATGAACTATAAATAAATGAAACGATATGTTTGACTTTATAAATTGAAATTCATTAACAAACTTAGTCAGGGTTACTGCAGTAAGAAATAATAGATAAAATAATGAGATAATTGTTTTATAAATCATACATGGACCCTGTCGCCCCATGCTTACGATAAAAAATTCATTGTTATGATTGAAAAAGTTGTATAAATTTACTAATTTATACATATATATATATATATATATATATATATGTTTTGCCACCGTACACAGAACTAAGGCCTAATTAGTTTTTGATCTTCAAAAAATATCAGCACGGTTTCCAAGTAATATGTTTCGAATAGTTTTTTAATTCTCAAAATCGTTTCGAGATTTATTGGCTAAACCGTGGATGAGAAATTTTGCATTTTCTGCTTCTTCTGAAGAAATAACTCAGCTGATAGTATCAAAAAACAAATCAACGCGAGTGCTTAAAAAAATTCATCGATTGGCTTCCGAATTTTTAAATCAGTTCAGCCGTTATTGAAAGAAAAAAAGCGATGATAGGTCAAAAATCGGCTCACCTTACACACACACCCACAAATACATACTCTTTCCAAATTTGGTCTCATTCAATTCAGAATGACTTGAAACGTAGAGAAAAGATAAAATTTGCAAACCGGATTTTCTGGTGAAAACATAATCTTCTCCTTCATGAAATTGAAAAACGATTTTTTGAAACTTCTAGACGAGAATACCTCTTTAAGTCGATTATATCACATATCGGATAGTTCAGTAAATTGACTTAAGGCAAAAAGCCACTTACGCCTAATAATAGTTTTTGACTACTACTGTTCAGTAATTTAGATCCATTATTGACTTCCCGTAGGGTAAGTTATAGTAACCGCAAAAAAATCGAAAATGAAAATTTTTATGTATATTTACATTTCAAAGGTTTCTGAATATTTTGGCATACCTTACAATTAGAAAAAATGGACAGATGTGTGTGTGTGCGGATACATATTTTCGTCGACGATTTCGGGAACACCGATCAACCGATTTGAATAATTCAAAAAACATTCGATTCGTATTGACAAGGAGACGTGCGGATTAGTTTTTGGTACAGGCAGGTCCAGCCGTTTCGAAGATAAAAAAGTGCAGAAATTCCGATTAGATCCTAGATTGCGTTGTGTGTGAGCATGTCGTTATAGCTCAGTTGGTTGGCGCGTCACCGCAATTTTCGTTCGCGTTAGTAGATAAAAAAGTCAAAACTGATCAGGGTTCGTTAAAAGTCAGAACTGATCGGGTTCGAATCCGACGTCTGTAATATTTTCTTAATTTTTTTTAACTTCGCGTAGGGTAAGTTATAGTAATCGCAAAAAAATGGCAAATGAAAATTTTTATATATCTTTACGTTTCAGAGGTTTCTGAATATTTTGGCATACCTTAGAAAAAAATGGATGTATGTGTGTGTGTGCGTGAATGTATGTGTGTGCGGATACAAATTTTTCGTCGACGATTTCGGGAACACGGGTGAAGCAATTTGAATAATTTAAAAAACATTCGATTCGTATTGATAAGGAGACGTGCTGATTAGTTTTTGGCGGAGGTAGGTCTAGCCGTTACGAAGATATGGGGCAAAAAGTACCAAAAACGGTTTTTAAGAGAACGGAGCGTCCGATTTTAATAATTCAAAAAACATTTTACTCGTATTGACAAGATGAAGAATTGACCAAATTTTCATAAGGGCAGGTCTAGCGGTTTCGGAGATCAAACAAAAAATGTAAAAAAAATGCCATTTGGCGGTCAAAAATGATCATTAGACATATGCACATCAAATTATCAGATATTTTATAGAGATTTTAACAATAAGTATAAATTTTGTTTACATTCCTATGGGTTACGTACCAATGTTTACCTGTTAGACAGCGACGCGGCGCTTACGCGCTTTATATTTTGTCTCTATGTAGTTAAAGCAGTACGATTGCTTTGAAAAAAAGTTCAGATCTTCGAAAATATGTCAAAATAAAGAAAACATTTTTTTTTTCAAAAAAATGGAATTTTTTGTCCAATTTATAGTTTCTCAAAAACCTTATTTTTTCGAAGTAAATTTTTTTCAAAAATGTTAATCGTTTTTAAAAAAATAATAATTTTTGATACGGGAAGTCCCAGCAATTTGCCTTAAGGCACGATGCCCTAATTGCCTTAAGACAGAATTCCACTTACAGTTAGTTTAATTTTTATGTTTGTATAGTTGATACTACATGAACTATTTTAAATTTTTAACTTAGTGCATATATTTCACGAACGAAAAATTGATGCATTTGAAATAAAATATGTTCATTCTAATAATAAGTCCGCTTAATTAGATTTTGTTCATATAAATATTTTATTTAAACATATATAAACAACGTCGTATAATCTGATAAGTTTTCACATTTTGTCTACGAGGAACAAATAATGAAAATTCTAGTTTTTATAATATTTATTCATAGACATTTTTGTTGACTGATTATTTTCATTCTTCGAATGTTCAATTACGGTACGGGAAGTTCCAGCAATTTGCCTTAAGGCACGATGCCATGCGCCCTACTAGTACTAAAATATTTTAGCATGTACGTTAATTACAAATAAAATATATGTATCGAAAAACAGTGTCGCCGCGCATTGGAACCACACGTGTACTACTCATCTGCTTGCTTTGTTCTTTCTCTGTGATATCTCATGAAGTGCTGTGGTTCATATTCATAAACTTTGATTTTAATTTTTTTAAATCGAAAATGAGTGTATGTTCTCTTTAGTTTTCTGTATAAAAGTGAAAAATGGCATATTCAATGTATTGTAAACGTGCCCTATTGACTCGAACCTTTAATTATTATAGCAAAAGGAATAGCGGCTATATTGTTTTGTAAGTGGCAGATATAGGTTATATCTATCAATGTCTATCAATTCCAACAATATTATTGCGTATTGTTGTTATGAAATAATTGTCAACAATGGTTGAATTTGGAACAGTTCTATTTATTTAAAATTACAAACTCTTACTGGATTATTCTTGAATATTTTTTTTTTAATTGCCGAAGTAAAACGTCGATATAAAGGCGTACTGATCGATTTCCAATAAATACATTTTTATCCTTGTTTACTTATTCAATTAACTTTTTTGAAATATTAAAAGACAGACATAAATGATTTGCTAAACCGAATTGTCTTAGTCTTCAATTTCATGACACTTTATAACTAATATACTGAATAATATTTAATTTTCATATAATTTGCAACCACTTATTGAAAAATTATAAGTGCGGAGAAAATGTATTACTATTGTTATTGAACACCTGAAATTTTTATAATATAGTAACATTTTTAAGATTTTAATTTACAAGAGTGTTCTTTGTTATAATTCAGCCTTTTCTATATATCAATTATTCCAATTAATAATTTTTTTCCCAGAGTGCCCGAAATAGGCGAGGATTTGCCTGAAAAGA